TTAGGTGTTTGACCTTCCGTGGTTCCACGGGGACACCCACCTCGTATTCGTATTTCCCAGGAATTGAGGGACCGGCCCTGGCTTGACCCTCTGGAGTTGAAAGGCACAGAAGGGGTAAAAATTGTACCTGGGTGTGTCCTTTGTCTTAAGTGTGCACATAGACTTAGAGGTCTTTAAAGATTAAGCTGTCACTTGGTACCATTATTTTCTATCTTCCTTTTTCCTGTGTAACCATTTTAAGATCTGTATTTGCTAGCAGTTAAGAAATAGAGCAATAGCCATTGTAACCATATGATTTATAAGCCTTTTTAATAAACCTGTAACTATTTAAGTTTTAACCTGACTCCTTCAGTTGCTGAAACAGAACCAAGCACAATTTAATAGAACTTCAGCCGGTCATAAGGGATAGGTATAGGAAGAGCTTGGGCGTTTGGATCGTGCCACTCCCAGGTGACAGATCCATTGGGGCATCTCTCAGTCTTCCCTAGACTGCCCCCTACAGAGGGATCTTGTAGCTGTTGGCTGCCCTCCGCGACGGGACCCCGGTCCTAGTGGTAAAGGCATAGACGTTAAACCTTTTCTCGGTAATACACACACATACACACACACACTGCCCTGACCCCCGGCTGACAGGGTCGACCAGGGTCTGCAGCACCATGGAGAAGTAGCCCTTCCTGAGTATGTACTAAGCTGCTTGATGGGGTGGTGCGCGGATCAGGAAACGAGTCCCATCAAGCGCTCCTCCACAATTCGGGATTCCCAGCCGAGGAAAGCTGACCATGATGGTGCCCAGGTCTCCAGGACAGACAATCCTGTTCAGCAGCTCTAACTAAAAATAGACACATAGAAACACACAAAATAGGAAATTAGAGGGGGGTGCCTGAGCCCTTGGGAGGTGCCCCTAATTAGAGGGGGTGCCTGAGCCTTTGGGAGGTGCCCCCCCACTGCTCCCAGCCATGACCCCAGGTTCCCTCCTTCACATGCCCCACCCAGCAGCAGAGCAGGGTGAGGCCAGGAGCCCCCCCCCCACTCCCACTTCATCACCCACTCCCTCTGTCCTTTCCTGACAGTCCCCTTTTTCTGGCCCCCCAACCCCGCAAGGATTGTCCCCTGAGAGTGACTTGCCTCCATCAAGATGGCCCCAACAGTAAACCTTCCCACGCCAAACTGGTTTCCCACCAAATGGTAGGTGTCGGGGGTGGCCAGCTTCCACAGGTCAATAGCGACTTGCTTCTCCAGGAGGGTGGCGGGCTTCAGGTGGGTGTCCTGTCATTATAGGGCAGGGGCGAGCCAGGTACACAGCTCCTGGGATGTGGCCTTCTGCATTCGGAAGCTTCAAATCCAATTCTGGTTGTCCCACTGCTCCATGACGAGATGGTCCCACCAGTCGGAATGGGTGTCCAGCCTCCAAAATCGCCTTTCCAGAAAGACGTTCAGTGGCAAGGCCATTGGTGCTACAGCCTGGGCGAGGGGCTCAAGGCTGAGTTCTGAGTCCAGATGGGGCAGGAACATCATGAGGGTGTCATGGAAGTGCAGCAGAATTTCCAGCATGGCAGCATGGGGCCATTGGCTGCCAAGGGGTAACTCCGGCTCCATGGCAAAAAGAAGATTCAAAACCAGAAAAACCAACCAAGCACCAAACTGGTCCAAGAGGCCACCTGTGTTTTTTCTGGGAGGCCAGTTCTTGCACAAAAATCCCAGCGGAGCAGCCAGGCCAGTTCTTGCACAAAAATCCCAGCAGAGCAGCCATACATGTCTTTTTGCACAAGAGCTATGTCACAAAAAGGAGTTATTCCTTTTGGGGAGAGGAATAACTCTACCGCAAAAAGCCCTCTCTTCTGCCATTTTACTGTAATTTTTTTTGTGCAAAAACCTTGTAGTGTAGACATAGCCTGAGTGGAGAAGATCCACAGTCCTGAGACAGGACAAGACAACAGATTTCTGCATCGATTTCTGAAAAGTTAACACAGAATTGAAACTCGATGCTTCCCTGAGGCAGAGAATAGATGAACAAGAGTTTCAACTGCCAGATACCACAGATTCAACTACTTTAGACCTCAGCAAGTCATACTGGAAAGGACTGCTGAGACCACAATCCTGAGACAAGAGAGACTTCTCCATGCTCTTTGGCTTGTAATAGTTCAGAAGCACATTGTTTCATCTCCACAGCAAGGCAGTGACTTTTCTGAGGCTACGTCTAGACAGCTGCTTTTTATCAGAAAGAGGTATGAAAATTGCGCTCCGCATTTTGCGTACCTTTTTCCATACTTTTCTCAGAAGAGGCTTTTCCAAAATTTGGCCCATCTACACTAGGCCAAAGTTAGAAAATACCTCCTCTTTCAAAAGAGCCCTCCTTCCTCAGGGCACGAGGAAGACAGGGCTTCTGAAAGAGCACATCTGCTCTTCCGCAAAAAATGTCAGAAGAGCAGATGCATTTCCTGGACGTGGCAGAGTTTTTACGGGATACGTCCCATATCCCAAAAAGACCTCTGCTGTCTAGACATAGCCTGTGGCCAAATAACTGGATATTTCAGCCACCAGGGCGGTATGCAGCCATATGCAGCTACAATCAGTTAAAAATGACTTTGTTCTTTCTTGGGGCAGCATCCCACACTCAGTGCACCTGGATTTACATTGCAACCAGGATTGAAAAGTAAAACCATTAGTTGCTAGAACCTGCAAAATTCAGGTTCCCCTGAGACTTTCTGCCTCGTCTCAGCAAATTATTTCTTCACTCCCAGGAGAAGCTCTCAAGCTGCACCTCTCTAGGGTCTCTGCTGCTCACGGAGCCAAGGGAATTGTCTGAGAGTCCTGCCAACCTGAGAGTCCACAGAGGCTGTGAACGGGAATGATAAATGGGACGGCCCAGATTGGCGCCTGTCAGACATGTGAGACTCAGACGCTGGCTTAGGGGGCTCAGCCTCTCTGTAGCAGTAGGAAATTTCCTCCCTCTGCTGAGCAAGAATTTGGTGAGTTGCTTTTTTCTGCATTACTGTTAATGCTATGGTAACCCAGACACCTAGGCTGTGTCTAGACTGGCCACTTTTTCTGTAAAAGCAGGCGCTTTTCCGGAAATACTTGCCAGCTGTCTACACTGGCCGCTTGAATTTCCGCAAAAACACTGAC